TCCGCAACAGAGGAGGACGACAGAACTCTTCCTACAGATTCTGTGCAGCCACAGCACCCCCTCATCTCTGCCTCCCCTGGTCTCAGAGGGCAAAGCTGTATTAGAAGAAATTACATTCACCACTGTCATAGTGCTGTAGTAGCCATGCACATATTTTCTTTTTAAAGTCCATGTACCTTTTATAAATGTGGCATATTTCAACAGAGAAAAAAGGTGAAATACAGCTGGAAAACCACAAGCAAGATCTGGAGAAACAGAACGGACAAATTCTACTGGTGGTCAAATGATCAACTTTCTAAGTAGGATACAAAAAAAAGAGTCCCCCACATCTTTGTGTTGCAGTAACACAAGCGGCAATGCATTTCATTCTACATGGCACTCCAGTGAATGTATACAGTAGACCTAAATGCACTTGTTATAATGCACCGCAGCACACTGATGTAAATGCGCAGTTGTTTTTGCATTGCCAAAAAATAGATTTTGGAGATTGGAGGCACGTTGCATTAAGGCAGACCATTTTTAAAAAAGGGCTCTCAAGGCCCCTTGATGCATGAAAACACAAGTTCACACATGTGAGTTAAGGCACACAAAATGAGGTGAATGGGCCCTAAAGGTTCACTAAAAAGATGGAGTGAACGGCTCTTCAACCTTTCATAAACCCCCCCCCCCCCCACTCCCTATTAATAACATGACTGCAGTTTTTCACCTGAATAAAGGATACAAGCTGTACCTTAAGGGGCTAGTTCACCTTCACCAAAGAACTGCCTACATAGGTAAGGGGCATCTGTGGAGAACACAAACTGTGTATCTCTGACTTAACTTGAATAATGTCCTTGCTATAGGTGTAGGCAATTTATGTACCTCATGAAGCTTGACTGCAATACTACCAGGATGTTGTTAAGTGAGGCCTAGTTATTTACTGCTCACCATCACAGGAGTGAGCTTCTTCTCCGATTCAGACCCTCTCACATGCTCTCTCTCCCCTGATCCAGCAGCTCTGAGCTCAGCATCTGAGAGCTCACTTATCTGCATAAGCAGTTTTTTTCATAAAGGTGAACTATCTCTTTAGCGAATGTAGAACTACAATACCCATTCACACAGTCCTAGATCTTATAACTTGATAACTAATGGAATATGTTCAGATTTGGTATTCCTAGTGTTTAGAGCTCTTTGGATAAAACGACTAAAATGAAGACAAGTTCTTTTATTTTGCACGTCTTACATTGATTGAACATCCTGAATACTTGAGGCCAAAAAGCTATAATCCTTGGAAAAGTATATGAATAAGAATCCATACAAAACAAATCTAGAAGACAGCATTAAGGCAAGCCATAGATAAATTGATTTTCTTTCCTTCCACCACAGGAGGAAGGAAACAAAAATCGCTCAATTTCCCCATCAACACAGTTGGTGATGGGGGAATACCTCCTGCAGCGCTATTGTATTCTGACAATTGAGGCGCAGGGAGCCTTGCTGATCAGCAGAATTCATTTATTACTGCCAACAGGTATAGCTGCTGGCAGTAATAGTCTGCAGAATAATCCGACAGGCTGCTTGACTTGGGTACAATCAGCCTGCCCATACATAGAATAAAATTCAGCCAGTCCCTGCTTTAGCCAGCCTGTGAGGGATGTGAATGTTTATCCCTTCAGATCCATTAGGAACATGCTCTACTACAGTTTTTGATTTATACATCCAGACAATTCAGAAGCTGCTTACCATTCATGGTTTTATGAGGAATAAACAGTTCCTACAGAAATAAGGCTGTCCAGATGCACCACAGGTTACCAGAGATTTCCATATTTCCTACAGCCAAACCTATACAGATAGAAGAAATCAAGAACAGCTTCTGAAGGCCTGTCCATATACAATTCGTACTGTTTGGTCCACTGAAACCTAGAACGATCCCATACACCAACATAGTTTCCTATAACCTTTCTTCAGCAAAAAATTCTAGAAGGCACTTTTTTTTTTTTTTTACAAAAGCCATCCACCTGTAATTAATCCATTCTTTAAAAGGCATCTGGTAACTAGCAAAGATACATTAGAAATGTTTAATTATTTTGACATCATGTCGACACAGATGAAGTAACAAGGCAACCAACACGACCACTAAAATAGCCCTGCCTACACTGGAAGGCAGACAACCATAAAAACAAAAAAGGAATCTCTGAATAGTTAGAGGAATATTAGAAAAGACACATAAAACTAGATAACTCCTGGTCCCTTGACAGTCTACCCCCCAACCCAAGACCCTTAGAAGATTATCAGGTCCATGGTCACATAGCCTTGTGTCCTCCAGGCCAAAACCCCTAGAAAGTTACGTCTGGTCACATGGCTGTCTGCTCTCCATACAAAGACCCCTAAAAGGGTTATCAGGTCTGTGATCACATGGCCCTCTGTCCTCCAGATCCTACAAGGGTACCAAGTGCATTGTAAAGCATCTTGCGGATATTACCTTCATTACATATAAACCATTAGTGCCCATTGTGGGAACTTAAAGGAAACCTGTCATGCACAGAAAAAAAAAAAAACCAAAACAACCCCTATCTCAATGCAAGTATTTTTTTGTTTCGATTTGCATTTTTAACATTAGTACCTCGTGTACATTTTTATTTAAAAAAAATATGATTACTAGATCTTTGGTATATACACATATATTAAGTCCCTTCTATTGCTAGTGGTCACAATTTTGCAGAATGAATGTAGCCCTCTGCCTACACAGATGTCCTTCCATATTCTCCAGATTTCTATAATAATTGGTCAATAAGGCAATGTCAGAGCTCAGAACAATGTGCCTTCAAATGTTACATCATGCTTACAGCTGAGGCAGCACAACCAAACTTACAGGCTCTACCACAACTTACCCAACCAGAGTTTATATCAAGTGGTCTATTATATCACAATAATGGTTTGGTCATCACAACTGAGAAACTATGGTCTATGCCAGTGGTCTCCAAGCAGTTCCCCGATGGCCAGATACGGCCCTTTGCTTGCTTTTATCTGGCCCTTGGGGCACGATTTCATCTACTGCTATCAACAATGACACAAAATTCCCCCCCTTGACACCAATAAAGGGGCACAATTTGTCCCAATGACACCAATGATTGGGCCCAATGACACCAGCAATGGGTCACAATTCCTCCCAATGACATGAATGATGGGCCACATTTCCCCCCCCCCCCCCCATGACACTAACAATGGGTCGTATTCCCCCCCCAAATGAATCCAACAATGAATCACAATTCCTTCCAATGACACCTGTGATGGGGAGCAATTCCTCCCACTGACACCAAAGATGGGGCATTGTCTATTCCCACTGACGTCAGGACCTTTTCTACTCCCAACAGTCAAAGTTCGGCCTCACTGAAGTCTAAAGAGCAGTCAACTGGCCCTTTGTTTAGAAAGTTTGGAGAGCCCTGGTCTATGCATAAAAAGGTGGATCTCTCTTTCTCTAGCATTTTCTCCAGAAAGTTGGGAGCCAACATCAAGTGAAAAGAATAATGTACATCCATAGATCATTGGCATTGATGGAGAGATACATGTACTCTGCTATTCCCAGCTAATTTAGGCCACAAACAGATAACTGTGCACAGGGTGGCAATCTGCTTGTGTATATTGAACCTAAAAATGTACTACTAGGAAAGAGATATTTAGAGAACATATTTCAAAATGTAAAGGCTGTTTTTATGTAGGATCTAATTTAACTAACCAGTTAACCTAAGACCTATATTTTTGTTCTTAGTAGATTATGATCAGCCAAGCAGACACCAGGATAAGGCAGAAGATAAAGGGACACTAGCAGACACTGCATATCTTATAGGGGAGAATTAGCAATCGGGATAGGTTTTCCATATTGCTGGATCAACTGTTTCCACAAATCATCGCTAAAGGTGTTGAGGGGCTTCTATTAACATAACTAAACCATTGACAGATCAGGTCACTATCATCTGAAGCATATAAGTGACTGATTTCTCCTCCTTCCAAAGACTTCAGCTATAGAAACGTCAACAGCGCAATCCTCCAAGAGACAGGATGACAGCTGGCGACCGACTCAGTTCTACCAAAACACTGAATTTGACTGGACTTGTCCATTAAAGAAGAACTATAGTAAAGCCAAAATTACCAATAAAACCTTACATAATAATACATCAAGTCCTTTTGACATTCTGCAATTTTAATAGAGAGGTGCCCAGAATGTTTTGAACTCTATTTTTCAGCAACAATGGAAACCAGAATCATCACTCAATGGGGCTACTTTTGGTTCAGATCACACATCCTGCCAAGACTACCATCATAACCATTAACAAACACTTGTATCTTACTCTTTGGGGTTTTAGCAGTCTGAAATAGGATATGGAGTTTAAGCTTTTACGCCAGACATTACAGTCAAAAACCAAAATACAGATAAGGGTAAGAATCTACATCGTAATAATTGTCGGTTTTAGTGTTTTGCCTGTAGTTCTCCTTTATATATCAAATTCAGTACTGCCACAAATAGTTTTCTACCATGCTCCATCATTGAAAGTGGAAAACATCACTGTTGAGTAACTAACTAGTCAAGACAAGTTAGTGATAAATATGTGTTTAAATATGTGCAAAAGTAAATTCTGGATGTCTACATACACAAATATAAAATGATATAACAAATCTTGGAACCCATTCCATTTACCACAACATTTTTTACAATCCTAATTCTCTATATTACATTATTTAGTGTACTTTTAAAAATGCATACATGGGGAATATTCTGGAAGTGTGTGTTCAGAATAGTAGGTAGGCTCTGCCACCTCTACTACGAGACAGAAAAGTTACACATTAAATTGGCCATAAGTAACACAACACAAGATATATGATTGACAAGACATTCCATCGTTGATACTGGCAGATAGAGATCTGTGGATGTAGTTTAGTGATAACACTTCTGTTGTATCTGATGATCCCTCAGTTAAACCGGTTTTCTAGTAAAGGCCGAATTGCTGGATGGAGTAAACACATCTCTATTGTCTCATAGACTGTCTGACGGCTTCCTGCAGGGACTTCCTTGTCACCAAAAGTCGAACAACTTCTTCATTCCTTTTGGTGAGACGTTTTCTGGCCTGGTCATGTGTTACCATGGTCATATCCCATCCATTTACCTGGAAATACACAGTGAATAAGGGAGTCAAAAAAAACAAACAAAAAAAAAACAAACAAAAAACACTAAAAGTTGGTCATGAAATAGCACCTTGGATAGTTTAAACTGTTACGATGTTACAGGAATTAAGGTATAAATAGTTCTTACTGGAATTCTTCTTTACGACCTCCTTTCACCTTCATAAAATGTATCAGATAAGCCATGATAATGGATGCATACATTACACTGCAACCTATGTTGTTTAAAGACACACACACACAAACTTTAATGGCATCCCAGTCTTAGTCCGTAGGGTTCAATATTGAGTTGCCCACCCCTTGCAGCTATAACAGCTTCAACTCTTCTGGGAAGGCTGTCCACAAGGTTTAGGAGTGTGTCTATGGGAATGTTTGACCATTCTTCCAGAAGCACATTTGTGAGATCAGGCACTGATTACACTGTTCAACAGGCAAAAAGTTTTGGGCATAAAATTAGCTAATCTTACATAATTTTGGGGTGCTGAAACCGAAAATGACCCTAAAAAATGTTGATTGGCTCTAGTTTCCATGATATATTCACCCATCTAATGACGTAAGCCATTCAAAATTATGATGCAACTTCAGCTGCATATTGCGCAATTGATACTGGTGACCAATAGAAAATTGCATGTATACTGAGATGATGCAATATTAGCCTTTAATTGCATCACTTCACTGCATAAAAGCTGCAGTATCTGTAGCTGATTGTAGTTCGACAGCGTCTTTACATTTCGTTTTATGCTTATATAGGCTACTCAGTAATGCCTCGAACTAGTGTGAATAAAGCAGATAATTTCTGCTATATCTGCGGTGAAATAACTTTTATCTCACAAAAAAGGAGGATAACAGGAATGAGTAAGAAAGCCTACAACTTGTATTTTGGCTGCAAGATAGGAGACCAGGACAAGAGCTGGGCACCACATATATGCTGCAATTCTTGTGGGACGGCACTGGAGCAATGGTTGAATGGAAAAAAGGCATCTATGCCTTTCGCTGTGCCAATGATTTGGAGAGAGCCAACAGATCATGTTAGTAATTGTTACTTTTGTATGGTGCCTCCAATTGTAAAAGGGCTAAATAAGAAAAAGTTATCTGTGCACTATCCAAATATTCCATCGGCAATACGTCCAGTTCCTCATGGAGAGGGCTACCAATTCCTAAAGCACCAGAATCCTTCGTGGTTGAGTCAAGTGAGGAAGAACCTGAAGCGTGTAGTCACGTGCAGTTGTAAGAGATAGCCCTTTCCTCGAATACAAGAGAAAAGCCAAGAGAAGCAAAACCGACACAAACTGAAGACAAAACTAGTGAGAATCCTAAGTATTAAAATGATTCAACTTAGCTTATGGCTATAATTTTTCTTGGTAATCCTATGCAATATATTATGCCATTTAGGCTTTGTTATGTAGTCAATATCACTTGCTTTATATTTGTGGAAAGACATCTATCTATATAATTATTGTGCATTATGTAGTCATTACGCCTATAGTAGAAAACTTTCCGTTTACAGAAAAACTAGAGCCAATTGACAAATTTCATTGTTATATTTGAACTCAGAATGTCAAATTCATTAAGAAATGGATCCTTTTGTTTCCAAAACTGGCAAAAAATAAAAATTTGTTGAACAGTGTTATCAGACAAGAAGGCCTGCCTCGCAGTTTCCGCTTTAATTCATTCCAAGGGTGTTCGATTGGGTTGAGGTCAGGTCTCTGTGCAGTCAAGTTCCTTCACCCCACACTCGTTCATCGATATCAATATGGACCTTGCTTTGTGCACTGGTGCTCAGTCATGTTGAAACAGGAAGGGGCCATCCCCAAACTGTCCCCACAAAGTTGGGAGCATGAAATTGTCCAAAATGTCTTGGTATGCTGACACCTTCAGAGTTCTCTTCATTGGAACTAAAGGGCCAAGCCCAACCCCTGAAAAACAACCCTACACCACAATCCCCCCTCCACCAAAACTTTATATTTGGCACAACGCAGTCAGGCAAGTACCGTTCTGCTGGCAACCGCCAAACCCAGACATGTCCATAGGATTGCCAGACAGAGAAGCGTGATTCACCACTCCAGAGAACACGTCTCCACTGCTCTAGAGTTCAGTGGCAGCGTGCTTTATACCACTACATCCAACACTGCATTGTACTTGGTGATGTAAGGCTTGGATGCAGCTGCTCGGCCATGGAAACCCTTTCCATGAAGTTCTCTATGCACCGTTGTTGTGCTAACCTGAAGGCTACACGAAGTTTGGAGGTTTTTAGCTATTGACTCTGCAGACAGTTGGCGACTTCTGCGCACTGTGCGCTTCAGCATGCGCTGACCCCGCTCTGTCATTTTACGTGGCCTACAACTTTCTGGCTGAGTTGCTGTTGTTCCCAGTTGCTTCCACTTTGTTAAAATACCACTAACAGTTGACTGTGGAATATTTAGTAGCAAGGAAATTTCACGGATGGACTTATTGCACAGGTGGCAACCTATCAGAGTACCACGCTTGAATTCACTCCAGAGAACACGTCTCCACTGCTCTAGAGTCCAGTGTCAGCGTGCTTTACACCACCGCATCTAACGCTTTGCATTGCACTTAGTGATGTAAGACTTGGATGCAGCTGCTCGGCCATGGAAACCCATTCCATGAAGCTCCCTGCACACTGTTGTTGTGCGAATCTGAAGGCCACATGAAGTTTGGAGGTCTTTAGCTATATTGCACAGGTGGCAACCTATCACGGTGCCACACTTGAATTCACTGAGCTCCTGAGAGCGACCAATTCTTTCACATTGGATATAAAAAGTCTACACACCCCTGTTAAAATGTCAGGTTTTTGTGCTGTAAAGAATGATATAAAGAATGAGACAAAAGATGAATCATTTGAGAACTTAAACAAAAAAAAATACAATAATGTGGTTGCATAACTGTGCACACCCTCTTATAACTGGGGATGTAGCGTAGAGTTCAGAATTAAGCAATCACATTCAAAATCATGTTTAAATTAGAGCAGGTGTGTAGTGACTCCTTTTTTAGGTGCCTCTGATTAACCCCAAACAAAGTTCAGCTGTTCTAAAAGGTTTTTCCTGACATTATCTTAGGCTGGCCATACATTATACAATTATCTGGAGATTTTTGGTTTAGATTTACCAAACACCATATAATAGGAGGACAAACCTAAACAACACTTTCAGTTGTATCCAATTAGGCAGGCCCTTGCACTACACAGTTGAAGATAAATCTAAAGGAAATTGGAAGATAATTGTATAATGTATGGCCAGCCTAAGTCACATCTTATAGCAAAAGCCATGGTCCACAGAGAGCTTCCAAAGCATCAGAGGATCTCACTGTTAAAAGGTATCAGTCAGGAGAAGGGTACAAAAGAATTTCCAAAAGGCATTAGATATACCATGGAACACAGTGAAGACAGTCATCATCAAGTTGAGAAAATATGGCGCAACAATGACATTACCAAGAACTGGACGTCTCTCCAAAAGGAGCTGCAGGAATATCTGGCATGTTATCTGGCATGTACTGGCTGTGTGGTACATGTGACAACAATCTCCCATATTTTCATATGTCTGGGCTATGGGGCAGAGTAGCAAGACGGAAGCCTTTTCTTACGAAGAAAAACATCCCATCCTAAATTTTGCCAAAACCCATCTAAAGTCTCCCAAAAGCATGTGTGAAAACGTGTTATGGTCTGATGAAACCAAGGTTGAACTTTTTGGCCATAATTCCAAAAGAATATTTCGCTCAGAAACAACACTGCACATCACCAAATGAACACCACACCCACAGTGAAGCATGGTGGTGGCAGCATCATTCTTTGGGGCTGTTTTTCTTCAGCTGGAACTGGGGCCTTAGTCAAGGTAGAAGGAATTATGAACAGTTCCAAATACCAGTCTATACTGGCACAAAACCTTCAGGTTTCTGCTAGAAAGCTGAACATGAAGAGAAACTTCATCTTTCAGCATGACAACAACCCAAAGCATACATCCAAATCTACAAAGGAATGGCTTCACCAGAAGAAGATTAAAGTTTGGGAATGGCCCAGCCCAGACCTGAATCCGATCGAAAATCTGTGGGGGGATCTGAAGAGGGCTGTGCACAGGAGATGTCCTTGCAATCTGACAGATTTGGAGTGTTTTTGCAAGGAAGACTGGGAAAATATTGCCAAGTCAAGATGTGCCATGCTGATAGCCTCATACCCAAAAAGACTGAGTGCTGTAACAAAATCAAAAAGGTGCTTCAACAAAGTATTAATTTAAGGGTGTGCACACTTATGCAACCATATTACTTTAGTCTTTTATTTTTACTTCCCTCCACCGAAAAGATTTCAGTTTGTTGTTCAACTGAGTTGTACAGTTTATAGGTTACATTAAAAAGGTGGAAAAAGTTCTGAAATTAATCTGTGTCTCATTTTTTTACATCACAGAAACCTGACATTTTAACAGGGGTGTGTAGACTTTTTAGATTCACTGTATACGCACAAGTACACGTACACACACCCACACACGTAGGAGAATGGGAATGTACCTGCATTATTTTGTCTCCAGCCTGAAGGCCCGCTATCTCTGCAGGTCCTCCTTCAGTCACCCTTGTGACATATATACCCTGTAAACAGAAGCAGTTAGTATAGAAAACTGTAATTGCATTTATATAGCACTGTCCAAGATGTTGTAAAATAATCTCCATCCAATACATCACATTCACTTAAATAACCCAAGAACAAATACATTTATTATAATGCAGCTTACCAGTCCCTAAAGGAGACATATGGACTAAGCCATAGGTGAGCATGTTTTTGTTTTTTGTTTTTTTTTGTTTTTTTTAAGATCCCACACTGCTCTTTTAAATGTGATGGATGCATTCACTTACAGAAAGTACAAAAAAAAACACCTATTGAACACATCAGAAATGCAACTGAGCTGAAAGCACTATTAATCATCTTCCTTTTGCAAACTACTAATGTTCCCACCGTCCATTAAATGAAGATGAAGGTAGGAAGACAAGGTATTGAAGTCCAATTTGGATGGCAACCATGACTTCCCTCCATAGATACAATGGCATAGTGAGTGCAGCCACCCTAGGATAGGAAAGGTTTCATTTGCAGGATTACCAGGTGAAACAAATATAAATAAAACAATAATGGGGGGGTACAAAATGTAGCCATTTCATTTAGGGACACCTATCTAAAATAGATTACAGTTTTGTTTGGGGTATAGATTCTGCTTAGGTTAACATAAAAATAAATACAGACAAGACAAACCGGAGAATATATTTTATAACCCCATAAAAGGCTCCAACCTTATCTGTCTTATCCTCGGAAAATGGGTTCTGAGTGGGATCTTGGTCAATGCCGCCTCCAATACTGAAGCCAAGGATCAGGTTGTCTCCCTGTCGCAGTTTATGAATTTCAATTCTTTGCTGAGGAAAGAGAGAAAAGAGGCTAAAGGTTAGTGAAACAAACTCACTTAAATTAACCTATATGCAAAACAGCCACTAAATATTACATCATGTAGAGGATTAGTACACGGATATAGAAGTGTTGGGGTTCAGTTCACGAGGATTATTGTGGTACTACATCCCAGTTGGGATCATCATAACTTCTACTGCAGTGGACATAATGTGAAGGAAAAAGAAGAACTGGAATGAGACAATTTGCATAAATAGCAGATTTCGTTAAAGTTGGTAGTTTAAAATCTCTTTAAGTAGCAGCAGATCTTTGAACAACTATAAATTATACTAGGACAGTCTCATACTGCCTGCCCACCAATGGCAGAAGACAGACAAATCAATAGGCTTCAATTAGGGCAAGTGAGAACACAAAATCCACAATTTAATCAGACATTGGAAACATTCTGGGTGAAACATTTTACACTAAAGCTGGTCATACAGATTATTTTCTGTTTAACCTGCAGGATACACAGCACAGATACCCAGATTCCCCTCTGCGGTCATGGTATTTTAACAGCAAGGGCCCCCCCCAACTGTCTGAACAATGCCTGCATCTGATTGGCTACAGGTGCATTTTGGTTGACAATTTTCCATCTGGCTCTTTAAATTTTTTTAATCAAAAGGAATGTTGTGCAGGAGGCAGCCAACAGAGACCCCTGATTTTAGCCTGTTCAGCAGGAATCGGCCAAAATTTGCTCAGTGTATGCTTAGTACCAATGTGTTCATGCATTACTGCAACTCACCTTGCATGCATTAGTGTAGTTGATGTGCCATTCAATCTGAAGGTCATCCCAACACATTAACGCAAAGCACGTGCATCGCAGTGCATGGTAACACATTACCATCATTGTGTGGCTAGAAGGGTTCAGGTGCACTTTGATGTGTGCTGGCAGTCATTTCAAAATGAATAGTTTGCCTTAAAGTAACACTCTGCAACGGTGTAAAGTCAAATTAATTGGATGAGAATTGGTTTAAAAGAGGAAATCCAGTCATTTTTGTGTTTGTTGAGTCAGCAGCTACAGTTTTTGTTGCTAATGACTTTCAGTAAACAGACACCTGTCCCTGAAACCAGCGATGTGCTCAACCAAGCCATTCCTTTCCTGGTCTTCTCTTCCCAGTGCCGGCATCTCAACTGTGGGCACCTGGCTGTGACAGCTTGCTGCTTCAAAACCAGGTGCCCACTGCACATTCAAGAGCCGTGCTGCATATTGTGAATGGTCCTGCACTCTTCTGTGAGACTGCGGGGAGGGAGGGGGAGAGGAGAACTACCGTTTGGATCACCTAGGTCAGGGTAGGCAACCTGCGGCTCTCCAGCTGTTGCAGGACTACAAGTTCCATCATGCCTCTGCAACTCATAGCTGTAACTGTCAGTTTTGTAACGTTGCAATGCCTCATGGGAAATGTAGTTCCACAACAGCTAGAGAGCCGCAGGTTGCCTACCCCTGGCCTGGGAGATCCAAGCAGAAGTGTGTATCTGTCAAAACCAGTTACCCACCCACTATTTAGTGAAGTGGAGTGGGGGAAGTTATAAAGGCCTTAAAGCGGAGCTTCACCCAGAAAGGGAAGTTCCACTTTAAGCCTTTGTCCCCCGCTCCCCATTAAGGATTCGCACCTTTGGGGAGCGGGTACCCGAATTTGACAGGTACCCGCTCCCCCTTCCGCTGCGATCACCTAGGTCAGGGGTAGGCAACCTGCAGTTCTCCAGCTGTTGCAGGACTACATGTTCCATCATGCCTCTGCAAATCATAGCTGTAGCTGTCAGTTTTGTAATGTTGCAATGCCTCATGGGAAATGTAGTTCCACAACAGCTAGAGAGCTGCAGGTTGCCTACCCCTGGCCTAGGTGATCGGAAGCGAAAGTTTTCCTCCCCTCCTCTCTCCCCATAGTCTTCTGGGACACGTGACAGGCCCCATTCACTAAGTACAGCACTTCTCGTGCATGCTCAGTGGGCACTCAGCTGTGAATCCGCAAGCTGTCACAGCCGGGTGCCCACACTGAAGATGCCGGGGAGAGAAGACGACCGGTGAAACCAGCCATGGTGAGGACACCGCTGGACCGAGGGACAGGTAAGTGTCTGTATTTAAGAGTCAGCAGCTATAGTTTTTGTAGCTGCTGACTTATTTTTTTTTCAGGTGGAGCTTTGCTTTAAAGCAGGACTTTCCCTTTTGGCTGGGAGCTCTGCTTTAACTGGATGACAATATCAAATACATTGCCATGTCTTTTAGAAAATACAGTCCTACCCCTGCCCCCAACTCAGCTCCATTCTGCTAATCTCTCCTATGCCTGTACATTGAGTGACAGTACAGCATCTTTTTGACTATCAAAATCTCATGATCCAGGGTGACAATGCAGGAGCACAGCAGGTGGATATGGGATAGCGGAGTAGGTCTAGTACTACAAACCACAAAAAGAGACATCCCAGGTCTCCGAAGAAATCCATGATGTGCAAAAACCATTCCGGGACTGAATAATCCTTTGTCGAATGGTTCATGGTTATAAAATAAGCAGAAAATAGACCTTCAGTCACACTCAATAGAGCTGTGTTTTTCAAGCTTTTTTCAGTCAAAGCACCCTTTAAAATTATGCACAGTCCCAAGGCACCCTTTAAAATTATGAATAGTCTTGAGGCACCCCATTATAAAATGTGAAAAACTATTCCAATATTTTTATATAACGCAGCAACATCCACACATGTAGGACACCCAACGTTAGAGGCGATTTATTCTTCCAAAGCAAATACACTTTTGCACACTGGTACTGACTAGTATTCCAGTGTTTCTCTTCTCCCTCACTGAGCCAAGGTGACCCCAGCACTGATGGAGAGGGGCAGGGGAGGATCAAACTAGGATGCTGTGCAGGCAGCTGACATCCTCCTTATCAACTGATGATGTAATTGGTTGTCAGGACGCCGGTGGCTAGGTGGTCAAAATGGTGTACAATGAAGACCTGTGCTTTTGTGTAACTAAAAGGCAGGCTTGTTCCACCTGCTGGCTTGTATACAACTTTTGGGCAATTTTTAGACATTTTGCCAAGGCACCCCTGAAGAACCCTCAAGGCACCCTGGTTGAGAAAGGCTGCAATAGAGGACGGCCTAAGTACAAGCACTTTATGAATACGCTAGTGCTATAATTGTCACAGCCTGGTGACTGCTGAAAGAGACCTGGCAGGTAAAGCTGAGACTCCTAGTTCCCCAGTGGGCCACAGGCTATAAAACAGATGACTGTAGCTGAATGCCCAATAATTCACACGATAACCGGTTGTACTTAGAGGAAGCAAAAGGGTTTTATTCAGGATGGACAGACATCATGGCAGTTACAGGAGATGAGAGATGATGTAATTTTTCAGACACATATGGGAAGATTTACTGAAGCGAATGCACTCAATCTGGTGCAGCTGTGCATACTAACCAATCATCTTCTTACTTCAGCTTGTTCAATTAAGCTTTGGCGATAAAACCTGGAAACGGATTGGTTTCCATTAGGGTTGAAACAACTAATCACTATAATCAATGATTGATTATGAAAATAGTTGTTAACTATTTTCAGAATTGATTAGTTTGTCAGCTGATTAATTGGCCTGCATACAGAAAGGCAGGAGAACGAAGTGATTCTAAAAAAGCAGAAGTTTTTTTTTTTAACCTTGCTATAGGGCCACACTATACCAAGAGTATTAAAATAAAATTTAAGGAGGTCTGGTCACTAAAATTTTCTTCTGGCTAAATAGGGTATGCCCATCAGTGTGCCCCCTTACATTATGTGTCGCCATCAGAGTGCAACTTTACATCATGTATTCCCATCACATCAGGTGTGCCCATCAGAGAGCTCCTTCATATCAGTTGTCCACATCAGAGTGCCCCTTTACATCAGGTATTCCCATCAAAGTACCCCTTTCTATCATATTTCCCTATCAGAGTGCCCCTTTACATATGTTATGGGGCACGTTATGTTAAAGGGGCACTCTGATGTTAAGGGGCACTCTAGTGGGAGGACGTCATATGGCGCCCTCCCAGATCGAGACAACCACAGCCCATCCGTCATTTCCTTATACGGCAGCCAGCGATTAAAATGATTATATAAAAAAAAAAAAAGTCTCAGCCTTTAGTGCTACTTTACTATAAAAGATTTATACGCCACCCACACACTTCATGTAGCTTTTGACTTAGTTAAAATACACTGTATATCCTAATTCTGGGTTTATTATATATATGATAGAAGTTTTATATATTATTTTCACTGTCTCACAGTATAAAATTAACCCCTTATTGTAATGATTATCTGTTTTTTTAATTATAAAAAGTTTTTTTTTTTTTTTTAAATAAAATAAAAAAAATTGTGCTGCTACTAAACGTCTTATGCTGGCTATGCACGTATTAATTTTCAGATGAGAATATTTGTATGAAAATTCTTTGCACATTCGATGAATGGATGAATGTCGTTCGAAAATTTCAATTGGTTTAATATTCAATTTTAAAATTATTGTAATTTCTGAAAGAAAACCACATACACTGTCCGAAAAAAATTTTCATCCAAAAAAAAAAAAAAAAAAAAGTTTTCTGTTCTGCTCCCTTGAATTTTTCTGTTACTGTGGCAGAAAAAAAAAAAAACAAAAAAAAAAAAAAAAACCCCACACATTTTGATTTGACCCCATTGACTATTAGAAAAGCAAACAAAAAAATTCTTAAAATGAACATTTTTGAACACAAAAAGTGTTTTGTATATGGACAGCTTAAGTGATAGCAGGCACAGGCAGATTGTATCAAGCTACCTACCTATGATAAGTACAGTCTTGTCTGAAATTCTTCAAAATATTGTTTTTGGTCTCTTTTTTTTCCATTACATAAAAATTTTGATCTCGGAGTCTAATGATCTGTACCAAGTTCAAGCTCTAAATAGTATAAAATTTTTCTTAATGTCTTTTAGTCTCAGAGTGGATTACATATTTTGTTCCCCAACCATATAGCTTGTTATTTA